GGTTTTTTTTTTTTTTTTTTTTTTTCAGAAACATCTGATGAGGAGGATTTGCGCACTCGTGCCCAAGCGAACAGCGTTATAAGCGGCCTGAATGATTGGGGTAAGAGGAACTCGAAAGTACATCAAACGGAGGCTCTTTCTCGACTGGAAGGTACTGCTCCAGTGGCGAGTCCGGCCTTAGATCGTCTTATTCCCACCGACTCTTGGTTTTTGAATTTAAATGTGAGACATTCAAGAACTAATGATACTGCCTCATCACGCATGCCATGGCACGTGTCGGGCACCACGCCGGTGCCCCAATCTGCAAGTTCGAGTCAGTCATGCAGTTTGAAAACCATTAATAAATTACGCTAATTTGTTTTTAGCTGTCGCGCCGTCTTCACTTTCCTAGTGTAAGCGCAGCAATGCAAGCTGCTTATCAATTGAAGCTCTAGTCAGTTAAGCTCAGGGGGACATTAAAAAATTTTAAAACCGTAGCTGAAGAGGAGAAGGAAGGGCAGGAAGATGGGGATTGGAGAAAAATGAAGTGGGAGCAGATGTGGACTTAAGCACTGATATATGTTGGACGTAAAATATTTCGGGCTTTGTGTTTCACTTCAGAGTTTTGTTACCGCAGACTATTTGCGGTACCGAAAGGTGGGACTACAGTCGTCCCGCTCGGAAGTCGATGGAAGATGGTTTGGGTGAATGTGGTGCGACTGAAGATCGCGAGACAGTGGGCAGAATTTGGGGGGAAACAGACGAGGGGTGGGAAACAAAAGCGTCAGTACGGCAAAACTGGAAATATGGGCAGTTTTGTTAGGCTGGAGTGCCAAGCAGAAATTGCGCAATGTGATGGAAATCCACCCATCTAGGAATCTTTACTTGGTATGTTGAGACGTCTCACGGGGAAAGTGAGAGACGCCGCTTGTTATGTCTGTCCAGTGATGCGGGTTCTGTGTCTTTCTACTCAATGCTGCATTTACGGTCGTGCCTCTTTGCGAATGCACGCTAATAGGAAATTTTGCGCATCACTGATCACAAGCAGCGCCCTGGTCCCGTTTCTCCTTCCTCTTACTGGTCTTGCGTTCGCAACGAAGTGCAAAGGTTCAAGCGTATTATCAGGTGTAGCTCTGAAAGCGAAATGGTTGTGCATCGGGCAACGGCCTCCTTTGTGTTCTTAATTGTATATCTGTTCGTAATTGAAATGTTGTGTGTCGTGTGTGTGTGCTCTCTGTTTGCATTGCATCGTAATCGGTCGCTGCTGCTAGTTGCGAAAAGTTGCATTGTGACCTACTGGATCTCAGCTCCAGTAATAAAAATTTTGGTCTTGCAATCCCATTTCTTGCTTAATTTGTATATTGTTGTATGTACATAGTTCTTATTTTTGCACGCTCTATGCTATACAGTATTAATCTCGTACTGATCTAATTCAAACACAATGTCAGTGTTTTAGTCTTTGCACTAGGACCCTCGAAATACTGTTCATAGCATGACTTCTGTTCGGAAGATGTTGATCATGTGTGTCATATGTCTGCAAATAATGTGTAGAAGAGCATAAAGCATTCCAGAATGTTGGTCGGCGTTTGTCGCAGAATAACGGATAAGTCCGCATTTAGGCGTATTTATAATCTGCGGTACCGCATCATATTTAGGCGTAGCGAAGTCTCTTCAATCAAACATCGGTTATCGCAGGTTGACAGTGCAGTTACATCGCGCTCTTTGTCTCCTGGTTTTTTGGCTCTGGAGGATTAGCTTCCATGCTCTTTCTTCACTTTCAACAAATAATCCCGTCCACGATATGCACATGCTCGTGCGACAGTGCGAAGTTAGGCTGCGATGAAATCACGCCTGAACAGTGCAGAAAACGTGATTGAACTTTCCTTGCATAGGGTTTTCCTTTTTTGAAAAAATTATCAAAACTTTGTATGTTACAGAAGTGCCAAGCCCTGTTCAGGTTGGCTGAAAAGCTATTTTTCAGATGTCTGGTCGAAATCCAAAAATCGTTGTAAGCAAGTATTGTAAAATTTTAAGACCCACAAGTTACAATAAATCCAATAATTCAACATGTTTGCTCCTACCAGCCGGCTGCACATGTACCTTTTATTTAGTGTTCTGTCCCATAATTTGTGCATTTCAATAATTACGGGAGGAATCATGCTCGTGCATTACACAGAACAATGAGTCACATTGCTACAACTATCCCTGGTGTGTGGAGATGATTTCGACAGTCTATTGCGTCGGACAAAATTTCATCACACCATCTCAAAAGCAAAGATATACTGACAAATCTGCGGGAAGCAAAAACCACATGCATTCATCAGCTCTCTAGTGCAATTGCTTGAAGCATACGCCGAACAATTAACTGGACAGCTCAGTTACTAATGAAAACCTTCGAGATCGTGATGCCCGTTTCGTACCGCAGTCGAGCAACCGAGATGAAACCTGAAAGTAGTATTTCTGACTGCAGACACAGATAACGCATCCCCCGGGAACCACAAAAACACTCCTTAAATAAAGGCAAGGGAGGAGCATTCACTGATGCTATTCATACCACTTGTACCTCCTCCCACAGCAAAGAATTCGCAGCCGTTGTCCCGTCACTCGATGATAATTTGATAAGTGAAGCAGCCGCTTGTCCTACCCCGAACTTCATGTTCGAATCGCGTCAATCGGAACAGCCGTAAAAGTGCTAAACTTCGAGAACGCGGTAGAGGGGTCACAGCCGCATGTAATCTCACTTGTCTCTTGATTCATCCCCTCTGTCCCCCGTCCTGGATGCCGAGGGTTTCTCGGCCATCGAGAGGCAGCCTTAAAGCAAAATAAGACTGACACTAGTGAAGAACACTGCCTCTTTTTTCACATCATGTTCACACCACCGAGCAGCAGCGCCTCTGCAGCGTTTGAAGAGCAGCACCGGAGACAAGAGCGCGTCACACAGAACACAGACATTCGAAGAGGAGCACGTAGCAAGTTCGCAGCAACAACGCATAAACAAGCAGGTCACGATGCGCGCATGCGGGCGCACTGCTCCAAGCTCCGGGGCGCGACTAATCGAGCACCGGCCAACGCATAAACGCTTCTTTCACAAACAATTGACCGCCGCACGCAGGCCACCTAGAGAACCGGTGAACGAAACCTACCGACTGCAGAAGAGTCCCTTCCACACCCCTCGCCACCCTCCCCCCTCCCCGCCCGCAATCGACAAAATGGAGCCCCGTCGCCCGCCACCTCCCAACATCAGAATGTGTTCATGGATGTAAAGCCGTACAGGACAAGCGAAGTCACTTCCTAATATACGTCAGCGTTGCGCCCTGTCCACTCACTGTGCCCGCCAATACTTCCCGCCGTCGCACCAGTACCCCCCGGAAGTGCGGTGCTTACTCTGCACTGCCGGAGCGACCAAGCGCCAGCACGCAAGGTTGCCGCATGCTACAACCACAAAAAAAGCCAACTCCCTGGAGGTGGCCATCGCACGCAAGTGCAAGGACGAGAGGCAGCTGTATTTAAAGCAAAAGCAGCAAGTTTGCAGAGCGTTCTGCAAGTGCACCTCCCAAACCCACGCTGCCCCCGCCCCTGTGCCCCCGCAGCAACACAGGCTGGGAAGAGAGCCGACAAATCGCATCCTGGTACTGAAACCCCCTGCTAACAGGAAGTTCCAGATCAGCCGAACGAGTGCGCCCCGCTCACAACGCTCCCACATCATCGCTGAGAGAGACCGGTTGAGCCGAATATTTCAAAGCGAATTGCCGTAAAGGCAATGTGAGATGAAGGAATTGATTGGTGTGAAGCGTTGTCCGAGGGTGGGGGGCAGTAGAGCAAGCATGAGAGAGGAAGAGGGGGCCGAGAGGGAGAGAGCGGCGAGCCAGTTGTTACCGTTTCCTGGCTGTTTCGGCAGTTCGGTCCCAGGATTGGGGGCAGCTCCGCCGGTTCCAAACATTCGTTTTCACTGATGCGGGCAGCGCGGCATCACTTGTTGACTGTTGGTATGTTTGGTCTTTTGGGGCGATCGGAGCAAGTCTGCTCCGAACTCATTTCGCCCGGGAGCAGTGCAATGGCGGCCGAACTGAGCAGATGCCACGGTTGGAGGAGCTGGGAGTGCCCTGTGCTGCCGTAAGCCCGTCGCCATTCGAGAGAGGCTGGCAGCAAACGCTGAGGTGCAGAAGGTCTGCAGCCGAAATAGCATAAAAGCATTCCGCCCGCGGGCAATCCCTGTGGAGTGAGCAGAGCTCGGCCGAGCTGCGCCGCAACATCGCGTTCCGCCGTTTCTCGGTCTGCCACTTCTTTGCGCCACCTCATTCCCACCGGCGGCAGCAGCCGCAGCCGGCACTTCGTGAAGTGGTGCAGAAGGAGAGCTACACGAGACGGTCGCACGTTGCCGGCATCCGTGAAGTGGGAGTGAATTTGGCGCTATGCTTCGTATTGCCAGCGTGCAAGTGCCGCGG